CGCTTCCTAAGCTTTGGTGTTCAGGAATCTGGGACGCAGAGATAAGTGCCATCTCTAAATGACACGCTAACACGGGCATGGCTGGAAAGAAGGAACATCGGCTGTGCCAACGAGCAGACAAACCCGAAGCTCTCGGCACAGAGCAAGGGTCAGAATGATCGCCACTGATCGCCTGGCCACCTCCCCGGCGCTTTGGGGCTCAGCGTTACTTAATGCTGCGGTTGGAAGGGCCGGAGAGTCCCCGGTTTTGTCGCCCCCGCATTAAACGGGCGGGGAAACCGGGCTGCCCCAGAAATGGGCCAGGCTCAGGCTCAGGCCCAGGGCTCCTCGCTCCGGCCCGGATTGCTTCCTACACCGTGTGTCGTCCACGGCGAATGATCTGGAGAACTGTTGGTATCTGGTTAGCTGATAAGGGACACGGGTCAGTCACGCCGAACGGCCTGGTCCTTGAAGGTAAGGCCGACGGCAGTGCACCACTTGGGATTCTCAGGGTCTCCTAAATGCTTTTAGTGTAACTGCACCAAAAGTTCTCCAGGGGACTCTAGACATAAGTGGATCATGGGTGTAGGCGATTAATTACCTTCAAATGCAATTGTTGGGGAGACCCAGATGCAGCCAGCAAGCTGCCGGTGCTAGGGCTCGGGACACCGGCTTGTCTCCGTGAAAGTTCACGTGTAGAAGGCTCCCCGGGCTCGGAGCACGGACAGGATCTATTCCTAGCTTTCAGCTGCCAGCTGTGTGAATACTCACACAGGAATTTAGGCATCGGTACTATTTGTGTCATAGTGGGGGGATTGTTTGCGTGTAAATGTGTCCGTATTTTGTGTGTCTTTTGGCTCTGCTGGTCCCTGTATGGCTTCTCCCATCTGCGGCAGTCACATCGGCCCGGGCAGGTTCCTTAGCCGTCGACTGGACGTTGGCTTCCCATTTGTTCACTGCACATAGGAAAACGTAGACTAATCAGATGTGTGACTTTATCACATGTGCTCATTTCCAGAATTTCCAGTTCATAGTGACAGGCCCTCCTTCACACGAAGGGTGAGCCCACTGCGTGTCACCAGGATGATCTATCTCCTCTCGTGAAGATAAGTGGGTATAAGAGCCGCTCTCTTGTGCCATGGTTAGTGAGCGAAGCTCCAAAGAATGAAAGAAATAAAACCTGTGCTCTATTCATGTTTTTCTCCCTAGTGGTATAAGAATTATCCCCGGTAGAACAAACGTTAAGAAAGAGAATGCATTTTAACCTCCCTGTAGAGGGAAAGTCACCTCATTAGAAAGCCTCTCAAATTTAACGAAGCCCTATGGATTGCTAGAGACTTCTACGGGTTTGTCAAAATTTAGAATAACAGGTGTCAGGGGCTCTCAGAGGAGACAGGAAAAAACAAAGGGCACAGAAAGGAGCAGAGCTGCTTCAGTTAAGGGAAGCGGGCGGTGACCTGGCCAAGATAAGAGACAGAGACGCACATGGGTGGCAGACCCGTTTTAAGGAATCCTTTTGTATTAAGCTACTTTTTAAGAGGCAGTAACAGCAGAAGTTTATAACAGTGTTAATAGTACTTGGTTGAGAAAAAAATATGCCAAATGTACTTGACTCTCCTAATTATGGCAAATTCTTGGAACAGATTGCTTAGGCCAAGTTGGAAAGACGGCCACCTGCCCGCCCTCTCCCCAAGGTTAATAAAGAACCGTGGAGCCTGTCAAGATTTTTGAGTTTTGAGAATTCAATGATTATATTGCTAAGGTTTGGAAAGCAAATTAATTGAAGTTTCCTAAAATTCCTTACACGTCTTCTAAATCAGATAAATGGAGACTACTCACACTAGACATCTGATGCTATGTAAGAATCAGCATTGCCTTAAATTAATTGGATTGCAGTAACTTATGCCTTGGTAATAATGGACTCGCATTCAGACAAGTGCTACAAAGTATGTGAATAGTGGACTAATATCAGGGTGCACTAACATTAAAGAGAAATTAATGAAAGTCTTTGTTAACATGACCATTTTTAAATGATTTAAAATTCATAGATACAAAGATCAAAAATCACTACACTTCAGTTTTAGTGCTTATGTTCAACAGTTTTGATCCTCACAGCATTCAAAGTAGAGGGTAAAATTAATAGAGAAAAACCACTGTCATATGTTTGATAAAATGTCCCATATTTTAAAAGCAAAAACCAATGTTTAAGTAATATTGTCATCTAACAATATTAATTATTAGTTTATTTAAATAGATAATATGTTTAAATTAATCTTTTTTCAAGAAGATTGAGCATATATAGAACTGGCAATGTAGGTGGCAAAGTTTTTGCCTCACCCCAAGGAAATTATATTCCAGTTTTTAGGAAAAACAACAAATGTGTTAACTGCTAAGTTTTCAAAAGGAGGTGTCTTATTAGTAAGTAAATCATATCTGCTCAATAGATGCAGAGATTCCCTGGAATCTTCTTTGTTCTTGCTTTCAGACCACAAACAGTAAAACACTTTTACAGAAAGGACAGCATGGTCGAGTAGGATTCCACTATAACGCACCACAACTTTTTTACCCACGCATCTACTGATGGGCACTTGGGTTGAATTACATACAGGAATGCAGGAAATGGATTCTAAATGGGCCTGTGCAGCTCACTTGCCCTCACAAGCTCTTTCTTGCCTGTTACTTCTAATTTATGTCATTTTCCAGACCTTGACATTTAGAAAGAGGAAGCAGAGGCACTTTTTACATCAACTGTGTGTAAGTACGGCGAGACTCCTATCTTGTGCAATCGTAAATATTACTCTGAGAAAGGGAGAGGAAGTCTCAGAGGTTGGAGAGCAAGCAGAAAAATCGTGGCAGGAACAGCCAGTAGGAAGTTCTTGCTGAGAGTTCCCCAGAGGTGCCCTGGCCCACCAGCCACAACACACAGGAGCAGGCCGCAGGAACAGGTAGGCGTCTTGGTTTGGATCATAAATTTTGGGGGGGATTACTGTTTTCTTAACCGACAGCCAGGAATTCGATTCTCACCTTGTCTCTGCTGCTGACCACCTGCGAGGATCAGTGAATCAATTTCCCTCTTCGGGCCTCAGTTTACTCACTTTCCAAATAAGCGAACTGGGTAAAGCCATCCTTTGGTTTCCTTCATGCTTTGAGGTGGTGGTTTTATACAATCCTTTGCATTTCCTGATGTATCACTCAGTCTTACAGAGTGCACTCTCCACAAGTACTGTACAGCTAGATTAAATCCTGCAATAAGACCCCATTTTTCCATTCTAATTCTGTAATAGAGAAAACTGCTGTGTGCAGAGAAGTTGTTGTCCAAGCTATGACTTGTCCCCAAAGTGGGGATTTTAGAACGGTCTTGAAAAGTTGGGGGCCACCCTAAGTTTGTATGCATGTGGTGAATGTGGAAGGACAGAGGATTGTTCTCAGACTGTGGAGTTTGGAGACGATGGCATCAGCATGGAGATTTCTTGTGAAACCATCCTCACAACCAAAACCCCCAAATTTTCATCTCAAACTCCATGCCCATCAAACAGTAACTCCACATTACCCTATCCTCCCAGCCCCTGGTAATCATCATTCTGTTTTTTAAAAATGAAATTTATTGGGGTGACATCGGTTACTAAGATTAAATAGGTTTCAAGTGTACATTTCTATGGTACATCATCTGTATATTGCACTGTGTGCCCACCACCCAAAGTCAAATCATCTTCTGTCACCATATATTTGACCCACTTTGCCCTTTACTACCCCCCACCCCCTTCCCTCTGGAAACCACCACACTGCTGTCTGTGTCTATGTTTTTGTTTGTTTGTTTTCTTATTTGTTCATTTGTTGCCTTTAGTTTTATAGGCCTCTATGAATTTAAGCACCCCGGGTTCCTCACAGAAAGAGGCCTGCTGTGTGGCATCTGTCGCTCTGTGACTGGCTCATTTCCGTCAGCATGTTGTAGTCGCGGCTCGGTCTTGGTGTAGCATGGGTCAAGATTTACTGTCGGGCCTTTACATTTGGGATTGCTAGTGTCTATGTGCATCGGTGTCAACGGTGCCCACAGGAAAATGCTGAGCGCAAAGAGATTGGTGAACGGCCTGGACGGAATGGCTGTTCGTGTAGGGTGAGGAATGTGCACCAACTAATACAAAGAGAGGAGGCAAAGGACAAAGGAGAACAGGAGCATGTAGGGTGCATGTGAAACTGGCCACTGCGTGACAGTTAAGGTTTAAGGAACGTTTTTGTTTTTTTCTTCAAACCTTATCGCCTCTTTGGTTGCTTTTGCTACACAATTCACTCTTTTAAACAAAACAGACAAAAGTAATACAAGAGAATAAATGTACATGGTATCCGAGAGTGCAGTGAGCTAGAGGCTCCCAGGCAGGCTGGGGGTTCTAGCCCTGGTCCTAGAATCAAGCACATTCTGTAGTCCTTGGGTATAAGAATGGAAAAATACAGAAAGGAATTCACAAGTACAGAGACTTTGTTTTTAATCCTTAAATTGGGGCCAATCTTTAGCTTTCTTTCTTCGCAATTTATTTTTTTATTGTAGTAAAAATACTTAAGATTTACTCCCTCGACAGCCTTTCAAAAGGACACTACGGTGTTGCTATCCTTAGGCACAATGTTGTACAGCAGACCCCTAGGACTGATACTGCGCAATGGAAATTTCATATTGCACAGCAGCTCCCCATTCCCTCCTCCCCCGGCTCCTGGCACCCACCATTCTATGAGTGGGACTATCTTCCATACCTTATATAAGTTAAATCATACAGTAGTTGTCCTTCTGCGACTGGCTTATTACACTTAGAGCAGCGTCCTCAAGGTTAGCCTTAGAATAAGAAGGATATTTTGCAACACGTGACAATATGGATGCAGCTTGAAAGACTGGTTATTAAGACTAGAAAGAAGAAGGGATCTACATGGCATACTTGGCTATTAAACCCCAGCAGCAAGACAGAAGCCAAGTTACCAGGATATGGGAACAATTGTGGAGCTAGAGACCATCGGCCACGTTCCCTGAGGTCAGAATGTCGCCGTGGGTGACCATGGAGCTGATGAGCGGCCACCAGTGGGCCTCAGCGGTGAGGGAGGAGGGAAAGGCTCCGGGGGCCGAGGATCGCGTGCAGCTGGGCGCACAGGCCCAAACCTGCAGCGTCTGGAAGAGTTCTGGCATTAGGCTGTGTGGGTTCACACTGCACACTAGAACTCTGGGTGGAATAGGAAAGGATTACCCAACATCGTAATGGAAAGAAAATAAGACAACGATGCAAGACTGAGCAGCGTGGGTGCCGCATCCCGGGAGGTGGAGCGCGGGGACGTGCCGCAGGCGAAACAGGTCCAAGGGCCGGGGAGGGAGCCGGCAGGGCTTGCTGGAGGGATACGCTCAAGGCTGAAAAGCGAGTTCTATGTAAACTGTCTGCCTCTCAGCTGTGACGCCTCCGAATGTTACAGTTTTCTCCAGGGACATTCTTCCCGTCCACATGGACGGGCTGTGTCAAGCCTGCTAGCTTTCCAGCTCTTCTTCTGCTCCCCATAGGCAGCTTTGTCTCTGCAGGACAGGTCACCCCTTGGACAATGGAGGAAAAGCTTAAGTTCCTGCGAAGTCTGGTCCCTGGAAGTTTCGTATCAGCGAGTCTAACCGCGGGTCCTCACTGAGTTCACTGCCTCTTCCAGCGTCGTCAGCATCATGCGCTCACAGCCCGAGACCAAGGGAGCCTTTGCCTCCTCCGCTCCCGAGGACACAGTTATCCCCCAGCGAGAGGGGCCCGGACACGTCTCCCAAAAAGAAGATACAGTGCAGAATGATCTCCAAAACGAAGCCACAGTTCTTGGAGTAAGTCCACCTTGTTATAAGGAAAACCCTGAGGAAAGATTGCGAATGTAAACCGACTGCAGATCTGCAGTGGATCTGGGAGAGCCTTTCATTTTCTTGGTCTGACTCCAGGCTAACTGGGACATGGAATGGGGTTTTATGGGAAGACTGTGTCCTTCCCAACCTTTCTGTAAACTAACAAAAACCACTGGGTCTTTCCCCCCTGAGATCTAGACAATAAATTCTCTTGTAAATTGCCCTTAATATAGTAGAGATAATGACTTAACCATACGATTTTACTCAATATGGTTAAGTTAGGTCATCTTATTTTGAGCTCATTTCTCACACATTTTAAGGCGAGACAACCTGGACTAATCTCACCATACATTTTCTCCCTGTTCACCTGGGCAACTGTAAGACACACCCTGGTGTCCCAGGTCCTCACCCTTCAGATCCAGGACTTTAATTCCTGCACGGTTCTGAATATCACCTTTGAAGACCCAGCTCCTACTCATTCTAGGTTTTGGAAACCTGCCCAGTTGTGCCCTCTGGAATTCAGGGCCAGTCAACAGCAGAATCCTCTTTTTTCTCCATGTTCTCAAAGGCCTCTTCATTGCAAAGGCCATTTCTGTGCAAACCGAAATCTAGCCCTGAGTGAACTGCACCCCTCACTTCCAGGCGTGGAAGTGACGACTGTGTCTTCCTAGCTCCTCGTGGATGCGTCTAGATCAGTCTTCCCCTCTCATCTCTACACCTAATTTAGAAGCGCACAACACCCTACTAGGTAATTCACTCCCATTAAAAAAACAACAACAATCTAATTGTTCTTTTTAGTTATTATTTGAAAAAGCCTAATTCAGCCTTCTACCCCAAATGATAGTTTAAAAAATGTTACTTATATTTTGAACACTGGAAAAGAATAATCATTTCAAGTCATTATAGACAGTCATGAACTTCAAGAGGTTGTTTTTTTTAAGGTAAATTTAATATTAGGAATAATTGAGAGTTGATAGGAGAATTAAAATGTAAGAAGACTGAGTTTAGTTTAAGAACCTAAAAATAATCAGTGTTTTATAAAATAACACGGACTGATGTGTTGGCAAATTTGAAAAGTGATCATCCTTAGAGAAATCATTTGATGAATATGTTGCTTGAAACTAAAACCAATTAGTGTTTGTCATTCTACTATTACTTACCAATATTAACTCCTAAATTAACTTCTTTCCAGTGACCGATGCCCTGCTAGGTTGCCTTTTTCCCTCTGAAGAAACCCCTTGTTCCTTCAGCTGACGCTCCCTACAGTCTAGCCTATGTGTAGCCTAGAATCACAAACGCAATTCATTGTTGCTCCAGCAAGCAATAAGTTATTGTAAATATGTTAACTTACTCATACATTCATCTATCATTAATTGAGCACCTTCAATATGCCAGGCACTATTTTACACACTTAAAATTATCAGTGAACTATACAGGTAAAAGAAAAAAAAATGACATTCTCATAGTGTTTAAGAGATAAAGACAAATTTTAGTGCGTTCTCGCTTCTTTCACTCTCCCAGGTAACTTACCTTTTTCCTTCACGACATTGACTCCTCAATCACTGTCAATTCCTTTAGTAAAGTTACTGTCATAAGCCTTGGCTATTTCAATATTCATGTCTATGATTCTTCCAATATCATGTCTTCTCAGTTCTTTCACTGCTTCTCCCAAGCATCTTACCCATCCTTCCCTAGACAAGCAGTCCCCGAGTTTTACCCTGGGCCTTATCAATACTAACAGCAGTGAACCCATCGTCAGCGACATTTCCAGCATCCCATACTCCAATCAGCAATCTAACCTTTCCATGTCACTCCCTCTGATTCTACATTGACTCTACTTTCTTTAATCCCACTGACACTTATTGATAATATCTTTTTTGCTGTCTTAACTCCTTATGTTGCCATTTCCTTCTTCACCTGGACAAGATCTTATAGTTCGCTCTCTCTTGTGAAAGCTCTCAACAGCCTCGTGTCCATAAAGCACGGTCTTCAGGAAAAACTGTGACATTGCTTTAATTGTAACTCTTCCCATTTTCCTACTCTATACCTGAATCCATGCAACTAATCTTAGTTACACACACACACACCCCTTCTGATTTATGGCCATAACCTCAAATGGACTGGAAAACCACCTAAAAATACATATTCTCTCATCCATTCATTTTCCTATTATCCCAGAAAACTATTTTATACATTCTTTCCCCTCAAGTCTTTTGTTTCTTCTCCATTTATTATCTTGTTTCCTATAATACTAAAAACATTTGAGGCAATCTGGATAGAATGTCCAGAAGCTGCTACACATCTGCAGTTCTGCACACCTGTGCCCAAATAGTCTCTCTCCCCACCAGCTATTAAGAATAAGTGGCCATCTAATTAATGACAGCCCTCCCTTTGTGCAGTAAATCCCATCTCTTGTCACTGGCTGCAGCGATTCTCCCCATTCTCTCTGCAAAATTTTAAATCAATTCCATAAGCACAGAATCTTACTGCAATTTTTCCAATCTTGAAAACAAACAAACAAACAAAATGCAAAAGCAAATACTTTTAAGTTCACACTCTCTCTAGCTAATACCCCATTCATTACTTACCTTCCCAGCAACTCTCCTCTAAAAGGTAGGGAGTCAATGTCTCCAATGACTTGAACAATATTCTCTCTTAAATCATATCCGATGGCATGTGTCCCCTTTGCTCCACATCACTAACCCAATTTTCAAGTCTCTGTTGTTAACTTCATAGAGTTAACGGAAATGCTTGATGCAACTGACCACTCTCTCCTACTTGAAACATTTCATTCATGTGAGTCCTTTATTAGCACCCCCTTGGTAAGTCTGCCTCCTATATCCACCTAACTGGACCATTGTTCAGGAAAAATTTTCTCCATCTACTTCTCCTAGAACCATAAAAAATTTGTCAACTAACTTTTTCAACATAAAGTTAGAATGTGCATATAATCATTCCCTGATTTGCTAGTTTAATAATCCTATCAGAAAACAAAAAAAATGTTAGTAGTACATGAATTTCTCTTAGAGAATACCTGTTGGCTCCTTGCACCACATCCCCCCCCCCTTTTTAATATGACAGATTGTAACATTAATAGTCTTTATAATTCACAATGTACTTTTAAAAAATATATATTTTTATTGATTTCAGAGAGAGGAAGGGAGAGAGAGAGATAGAAACATCAATGATGCGAGTAATAGATCCACTGCCTCCTGCACCCCTGCTGGGGATCAAGCCCTCAACCCGGGCATGTGCCCTGACCGGGAATCGAACCTCGATCTCCTGGATCCTGGGTCGACGCTCAGCCGCTGAGCCACGCCGGCTGGGCCACAATGTACTTTCAAATGCCACTTTCCTCTATTTAAAGTATATTCCAATGTTTTCCCTCTTGTCTCTTGTAGACTATCCACATCCTGTGTTGCCTGGTGATTTCAAGTTTCGGGGCTATTTTGATTTCTCCTGCCTACTCTTCCCACCTGAAGCCCGCAGTTTCCACCCTGTTGATGTCCGGGTACCCATTTGTAGGAGCTCTGTGTGTGAGTAGAGTGGGGTCTCCAAGAGAGGACATGCTTTCTAAATGCTAACGGGGTGCTAAGTCATGTGGTAACTCAGTCCCAAGAAGTGGGGAGAGAGGAGGAAAAGGCTAAGGCCTCCGACTCTCCCTCTGTCTCCGTCCATGTCATGCCTCTGCGCTTCAGGAAGAGCAGAGGGGCTGTGACCGCCCTGCGGGGTGAGCAGGCACCCCGGGAGTGAATGGCGGGGACAAAAGGCAGCAGGGGACACAGTGGGCGCGCCAGCACTTCTCACCTGGCCTCACGGCTTGCCTCTGGAAAAGTGGAAGCTTCTTCACAGCCTTCTTTGGGCCTTTGATGAGGCCGTTGGAATTTCTCCGGTCTAAGAACAACCTAGCTATCAGGTAGAGAGTGAAAAGGTGGTTTTTAAAATAAAACGAGCACCACTGGTAGATGCCGCAGGTTTGCAGAGGATTAAACCAGCAATGGTAGAGTTCCTGGCAAGCAGGGCGCCCTTGCCACGTGTTCAGGGGCAACCAGAACACTGGAAAGCATGTTTGCTGCCTGCCATGTCAAGGCTCATGAAGAAGGTCCCTTTCTTTGGGCCCTCGCCAGGGCCTAGGCATACCTCCCCACACACTTCTTTTCTATGTAGTATTCTGTACAAAGGAGAAAAAGCACACATTCTGGGCAGATGCATTTTACCAAGGCATCACCTCTGTGTGGATACAGTACTTGTGTGGACGCCAATCACACAGTGACATAAGAAGGCCCTGCTCCTGCACCCACAGCATAATTTGCCCGTGATTTTTCTATCTAGCCAGTAGTTGTGGCTTCCACATTAGAATTAACTCATGCTGGACCCTCTTTGCCTGTGACAACCAAATCCCCAAGCCACGGCTAACCAACATTGTACTTTCTCAGAATGTCTTTCTTCTACCAGTTGGGATCACATACTGACTTCTGGGGCTTTGTGATGAAATACTCTTCACATCCGACCCTGTGCTTCCCCCTTTCCTCCACCCCAGCCTGACTCAGGCCACCCGCACCGATGGCTTGAAGCCCACGTGCTTCTGCACCTTGCCCCACGAGTGCTTCTGCTGGCTCCTCCCATCTTCCTCTCCCTTCAAGTCATTGGTCTTTCTCAACCTCCTTTCTTGCAACCACGTAATTTTTTAAACGTACAATGATGTTTATTATGGAGTTTCTTTAGACGGTGAAACATGGCAAACAGTGAGATGTCCAACAATAAGAGATGGACTAATAAATTATGCACCAGCCATATGACTAAATATACAACCACTACACATAAGGCTTTAAAGGAATAATGATTTAATGAGAAAAAGCTTATAAGATGCTGTTTAGCGGGGAAAAAAAAAAAATAACACCAGAAAAAAACTCTATAATCAAATTCAGAGAAGAAAAGCCATACACATAAACTGTATTTACAGTCAGATTCTATGATGGAAAAATAGAGCCCTGGCAATAAATATAAATAATTAAGAAAAATTCCCCATCTATTAAAAACAGTTGATTCTAAGTGGGGAGTTTCCCGATGCTTCCATCTCACATCAAGTGTTTTGCAGATACTGCTTGTAGTCAAGTCTGGCCCATTACAACAATCAGATGTCCCTAGACCCCTACTGTATGGAGATTTCTAGATCAGACACTACACCCGGGTTAGCAGTCAACCTTGTAATTTATAACACTCTCCTCCTCCATGCGCACCTTCTCTCCAGGCGTCCTCAGCTCTCAGTGATTTTCACTGACATGAATCCAGACTCTTGAGCATTTGCCGATTCTTGAAAGTCAGTGGAAAACATCTTGAGGGCAGAAACCAGGCCTCTCTATCAATATGGACCCACACCATTCCTAAGCGTCACCTCCCTAAAAGTTCTACATTACTTATCGATTGAGTGATTGACACGTTTCCACAAAACAACTGAACTGATCATTTCTCTCTCTTCTGAGCAGTTTGCCGTCACCGGATTCCTCTCCATTATCTCTGGGAAAAAATCAACTAAGCCCTTTGTAAGTACAAGAGCCATCAAATCTCAGCTTGTTGGTATAAAAGAAACTTCAGAGTTAATTCTTCCAGGTCAAAATCTCCATTTGACTGTTTAGGGAAACAGGCGCAGAGCAAGTGAAGGGGTCCAAGTTCCCCCGGCCCACTGGCAGGACCAGCAGCAAAGCCCGCGTTCCTTGCCGTCCCAACCGGTGCTCTTTCCCCTACCAAACGGAGCTCGTGGGTCACAGCCCAAGCTCGGGGGAGGGTCACCTCAGTTGCTTAGCCAGTGGAAATGTTTACGTATGCCAGGACTCTTTAAAACTTGTTATCTTGGCCCTGGATAGGGTAAAGGACCATCCCACCTAGATCCTAGAGATTCTTTTTTCTAGAAAAGTTCACCTAATAATTTGTCAATTTCCCTAAATGGCATGGAGAGAGGCAGAGGTGTGTGGGCTTAGATCCTCTCTGGCTGTCTCCTTTACGCCTTCAGGAACAAGGAATTGTCAGGCTGTAGCCACTCTCTGGACCAAGGCCAGGAGTTGGGGGGCAGGGGGCAGAGGCAGCTGAGGTCTTCGATCTTCTCCATAGCAACCTTTCCCTCTCCCCTGACACATACCCTCAAGGATGACTGCAAGGAAAAGAGCGTGCGCTGGGGACCTGGTCCAGAGCCCGCACATCAGTGTCTTGGCAGAGGAGTCACATCCTGTGACAGCCCCTTTCCCCAAACAGACTATGACCCTGGAGTGAGTGTGGTGATGAGGTTCTCATAGGCCCGATCCACCTATAGAATGTGTCCCAACTTCTCCAGTTTGCTTCTTTCTTTTTTTCTGAAGCTGCTTCTTTATGGAAGAAGCAGCCATAGACTGGTCTTCCCAGGAGGGACCACAGGCCATAGTCTAGGAGCCCTGAAAGCTTCTAGAAGCTGATTCTAAGTCTGTTGAGGAGTCGAGGGAGATATTAGCAGTACCGCTTGTGTCTTCAGTGCTGCAGCGTCAAGGAGCCAGAACCCCTCTCCCAAAGCAGGAGTTGTTCATAGAGTCTCTCATTCAACAAACATTTACTGATTATAGGAGGTGAGGAACTAGACAGTGAGGAGTGCTTCGTTCATGTGATACAGGCATGAATGAAACACAGCGTGTGCCCACTAGGACTATGTGGATTAGACGGGAGACAGACCCAGGGAAGCTCGGCTGCAGTGCAGTGGACAGAGGGGAACAATCACCTGCTGCTTCTGTGATGAGGTCCCAGCGCAGAATTTCTCTTCCAGGCCACGAGCAGCCTGACCTCCAGTGCAGTGAGTTCTGTTGTCGCTGGAGTGGGCCTCCTCTTCCTCATTTACAGCCTGGTAGCCCTGGGGGCTGCCTCTCAACTGTGTGACTCAGAAAAGGAGCATCTATTCTTGCCTCACTCGGGGTCCCCCAATCCAACATATGAAGTCAAGGACTGTGTCCTGGACGGTATCAGTCTCACAGTAAGTACTTTCGGATGGAGTGCCCTGTCATGTGAGATCTGTCTCCCCTTTGCACAATCTTGCCTTTCCACCACTCCTTGCCCTGTCGGCCTGAATACCTGGAGGCAGGTAGCAGAAGAAAAAATTACTACAGTTGAAAGAGGCCCATCAGCAGACTGCATAATATGGGGGGTGCCTTGTGCGAAGTTGAAAAAGGAATCCAAGAAGGCATGTGGGCAGTCCGTCCCTTCAGCAGTTTTTCTTAAATAAATAAAAATTCCCTTCTCAGTAGGTTTAACTCTCAAAGTGCCCTCTTCGTTGAACAGGCATTATTTTCCTCAATGAAACATCTGAGAAACATACTCTTTATTTGAATTTCATTTGATTTGGGATGAAGGTATCCTACCTTAAGTTACATACGGATTTTTGAACCTGAAGCCCATACATCTGATTGTTATACTTTGGCCTCATAGGTCTGGCTGGGGGGATGGGGGGGGAGGTGGCCCACCAGTGGATGCGACTCCTCGCAGAAATGCCAACATCTCTAGACAGCACTTCCTTACCTCCTTTCCCTCAAAACTTGATAGTCACCACCTGCTGATGGAGACAATCCTGGCTTAATCCATCCTTTTATATACAGGCTCAGAGTTTTAAAACCATCACCTCTGGTCCTTTATGGAGAAAGGTTTCTTCCCTTGTGACTCCTGCCGTTAGGCGCTGGGGAGACAAAGGCACTGCCCCTCCCTCCCTGGGACCTGTCTGTCTCGTGAAGCTTAGGGGGTGTGCCCCTGCCCATGAGCCCGGGGTTGTCCACAGCAAGCCCTGTGCCCGGGCCTTGAGGGACTGGAAGAGCACAGGTCTGTCAGCCTTTGAAAGGACAGGAGGCTCCAGGCCCAGGGAGTGCGCCGGGGCCCACGCGGCGTAAGTGAAAACGGGCCCGCACCTGCGGACACGACGGGGCGGCCCGAAGGAAAGGGACATAGGAAAAGCCACTCGAGATAAATAACGGAGTACTCTTCTCTCCGAAGGTGGGACACCAAGGCTCTGAGATGAAGCTGTGTTATTTTTCTTTCTGTCCGTCCTTACATCGTTGACACTTACAGATGGCCCCATTCTCCCCCTCGCCCCTTTGCCCACCTCCTCCCAGCTCCCACCCCCTTGCCTCCGGCCTCACCGCGCTGTTGGCTGTGTGTGTGGGGTGTGATGTATGTTCTTGGACAAAGCCCTTCCCATTCTTTCACCC